CTTTGACTGTCCTTAGCTAGAGAGAGCCGACACACCCAGGGTTACACCTCCTTCCTGTGGTCAGTCTGTATCCACTAATTGGTCCAGGCAACAGTAGAAGGAAGAGCCCATTCTCCACAATGAGGGATCTCTGAAGTCATCCCAGTCTCAGATCTCCCTGCAGAGTTGGCTGAGATCGTCCCTGAGTTGTCGACTAATTGCCCCCTACAAGATCCTACTTTCAGCCCCTCCCATCCACAGACAATGATCCCAAGAGGTCTTCAGAATAACTTCTTACCTGCTAATGGTTTCCTGAGTCAGCTTCTGGGGATCCCAACCCATAACAGAATTGCTCATATTCTGCATGTGTCTTGAAGATATAACCAACAAAATTTGCTGATAGATGTGATAGAGAGAGTGTGGGGGGCGGGTGGGGAAAGGGAGGCAAAAATAACAGCAAGATTTTTATCTTAAGCAACTGGAAAAACCAAGCTGCCATTTACTGTTATGGGTAACTCTGCAAGAAGAACATGTTGGGGATGGGGTCAGGACCCACTGTTTGTTTCTGTTCCAATCACAATGTCTATGAGGCACCAAAGAGGAGCATCAGGTAAGCCCTTGAATATGTGAGACTGGAGCTCAAGAGAGAGGTCAGGGCAGAAATAGAAATGTGGGAGTTGTTAGCATGCAGGAGGTGAGTGCTCACAACTGGATAAGAACACCTTTAGATCAAAAAAATATATCCACTATAGTTTTGGTCAGGGTTTCCAAAGTAAACTATCTGCATTATTATTACAGTATTTTTTAATTTTAAAATTTGTCATGAGATGTATACTGTCACTAATTAGCTATCTACCTTGAACCAGTCATTTACATAACTTACTGGCCTCTTTGTTTCTTCAGACATGTGGAGATAAATTATAATTATAACCTCCAACTTTAGGGGTTAATCTGAGGATCAAATGAGAAGGCAGATAGGAAGGCACTTTGAAGAGTTAAAACTTATTCTAATGAGACATTTTATTGCTGTTAAGCATTTTTTTAGAAATATAGTTTCTTTGTCATTAGGAAAGAAAATGAGACAAGAAATAAATTAAACATCCATTGAAATTCATGCAGGGAGAAAGAACAAATGAATCCAAAGGAAAATTAAATAAGTGAAATAACATAACAAGATTGAACTAAACACATTGGAAAACATTAAAATTCTCAAAAACATATAAAACTCAAATTTTCAATAAGCTAAAAAATACAAAAACATTTTGCAAATTATGAAAAATGAAAGAGCTTACACATTAAATGACAAGTGAATAAAACAGAAAAGATTTTTTAATAAAAATGACTATCAAAATTAAGGATGTAAATTTACATGTAAGCTTCATTAAAATGATAATTCTTCTTTTTGAAACATAGAAATAGACTTGTTTCACCTAGAAATTAATTTGGAGTTCCTACATACGCAAACAAGATATGTGTGTTGTTATTTTTTATCTATACCTCTACTTTTTTAACCTGGGAAATGCAATTTTAATTGTCTGCAGAATTTTTTCTTGTATTTTCAATGGGAAAATCTGAAAAGAGTACTTAAAATATGTCATTCTCATTCTTCTAATGTCCCATTTCAATTATGCTATCTAGATGCACTTCATCCTATTCCACTCATTGCATCCTTGCTGGGGTGAGAGCACCATAGAAACTCTTTCAGTTGAAGTATAGTTGACTTACAATATTGTGTTAGTTTCAGATGTACAATATTCAATGTTTTTATAGGTTACACACCATACAAAGTTATTATCAAATAGTGACTTTATTTCCTGTGCTATACATAGCATTCCTATAGCTTATTTACTTAGTAACTGGTAGTTTATACCTCTTAATCTCCATTCACTTATTTCATTTCTCTCCCCACTATTCTTCCCTCTAGTAATCATTGTTTGTTTTCTGTATCTGTAAGTCTGTTTCTGTTTTATTTGTTTATTTGTTTTGTTTTTTAGATTCCAACTATAAGGGGAAATGTATGGTATGTATCTTTATCTTAATTATTTAACTAAACATAATATCCTCCAGATCCATCCATGTTGACACAAATGACAAGATTTTATTCTTTTTATGGCTAGGTAATATCCCATTGTGTTCTTTATCCATTCATCTGTTGATGAGCACTTAGATTGCTTCCATATCTTGGCTATTATAAATAATGCTGCAATAAGCATTGGAGTGCATTTACCTTTTCAAATCAGTGTTTTTATTTTCTTTGGATAAATCCCCAGGGGCAGAATTGTTAGATATTATGGTAGTTCTATTTTTAATTTTTTTAGAAATCTCCATATTGTTTTCAACAATGGCTTTACCAGCTTACATTCCCACCAACAGTGTACTATGGTTCCCTTTTCTCCACATCCTTACCAATACTTGTTATTTGTTGTCCTTTTGATGACAGCCACTCTGATCATTGTCAGCTGATATCTTATTGTGGTTTTTGATTTGTATGTCTATAGTAATTAGCAATGTTGAACATCTTTTCATGTGCCTATTATCCATCTGTATGTATTCTTCAGAAAAATATCTATTCAGGTCTTCTGCCCATTTTTTGATTGGGTTGTTTGGTTTTTGGTACTGAGTTATATGAGCAGTTTATATATGTTGGATATTAACCTTTTTTCAGTTACATCATTTGCAAAAAAAAAATATCTCCCCATCTATATGTTGTCTTTTCTATAGCCAAACCACCCTGAACATACTTGGATCTCATCTATAGGTTCTTTTTGTTTTGTTGATGATTTCCTTTGCTGTGAAAAAGCTTGTAAGTTTACTGATGTCTCATTTGTTTATTTTTGCTTTTGTTTCCCTGTCTGAGGAGACAAATTTAAAAGATGTATATATAAAGACAAATATCAAAGAGCATATTGCCCATGTTTTCTTCTAGGAATTTCATGGTTGTAGATCTTACATTTAAATCTTTAATCCATTTTGAGCTTATATTTGTATATAGTATGAGAAAATATTTTAGTTTCATTCTTTTACATGTAGTAACGCTGCCTGATTTTCCATTCACCACTTATTTTAGAGAGACTATCTTCTTCCCATTGTATGGACTTGCCTCATTTGTCATAGACTAATTGCCCTTGTTAAGTATGGATTTATTTCTGTGCTCTGTTCTGTTCCATTGATTTTATGTGTCTGTTTTTGTGATAGTACAATACTATTTTGATTACTATAACTTCGTAGTATAGTTTGAAGTCAAGGGGCATAATAACTCCAGCTTTCTTCTTTCTCAAGACTGCTTTGGCTATTCAAGATCTTTTGTGGTTGCATAAAAATTTGCGGATTTAATTTGTTCTAGTTCAGTGAAAAATGCCATAAGTATTTTGACAGGGATTTCATTGAATCTGTAGATTTTTTTTAATAATATGGACACTGCAACCATATTAATTTTTCCATGAACACACACTGTCTTTCAATTTATTTATATCATCTTCAATTTCTTTCATCAATATCTTATAGGGCTCAGAATATAGGTCTTTCATCTCCTGGGTTAAATTTATTCCTAGGTGCTTTATTCTTCTTGATTAGATTGTAAATGAGATTGTTTTCTTGAGTACTTTCTGATAGTTCATTATTAGTGTATAGACAAGCAACATGTCTCCATTTATTAGTTTTGCATCCTATAACATTACTAAATTTATTAGTTCTAATAGTTTTTTTGTAGAGCCTTTAGGGTTTTCTATATACAGTAACATGTCATTTGCAATTTAGTGATTGTTTTACCTCTTCCATTTTAATTTATATGTCTTTTATTTCTTCTCTTGTCTGATTGCTATGACTCTGACTTCTAATTCTATGTTAAATATAACTGATGAGACTAGGCATCCTAGTCTTGTTCCTGAATCTAGAGGAAAAGCTTCCAGCTTTTTATCATTGAGTATGTTAACTGAGATTTGTCATTAAAAAAATCTCAGCTATATTGAGTTGTCTTCCTTCTATACCTACTTTGTTGAGAGTTTTTATCATGAATCGGTGTTGAATCTTGTCAAATCCTTTTTCTGCATCTACAGTGATGGGATTTTTATCCTTCATTTTGTTTAGTGTAGTATATCACTTTGACTGATTTGTGGAATTCCTAAATTTTCCTACTTTTCCCCCTTTTAACATCTTTGTATGATTTTAAAGCTGGAAATAATTTCTGAAGAATCTTAATAAGCTATTAATTATTAATAAATATCTCCTGTTTGTGTATTCTTTTTAAGAATCTAACCTAAACATGCACATTTTTAGAGACTGTAAAACATAAGAACACTGCCAATTTTTTTTTAAGAATACCTATTTAAAGTAATGTTTTAGGTCTTGTAGCTATTTTATGTTATTCCATGTCATGTAAGTATGACATGAAAATGACTAATGAAAAGGGGTAGGTTGGTAAACAATTCATCTGGCTCATCTATGGAACACTAGTCAAGTGACCCTGTCTGTCATCTTGGGGTAACTCATTTTTCCTGGCTGGGCAGCAGTCAGTTTCCATGTCTATAATACAAAGACTGTGAGGATTCAGAAAAATTTGTCCTCAGCAGAGCACATACTTAAAAAACTTTGCTCGAGAGAGCCCAGCACACAGTAGGTATTCAATGAATATTCAATAAGTATATCAAATTGGTAAAAGTACTGACCAGACTCACAGACATCTTTAGTAATTAAACTTCTAAACAACTTAACAGTGCAAAGATACAGTTTCATAAAGTCACACTTATACTAAATTATACTTTTTCCACTGGATTCAAGGAAGAGTAGGAGGATGGAAACTAACTCTTAGATTATGAGTGTAAGGGAAAGAACCAGGAACACCTTTAGAAGCATCAAATCCAACAACAACTGGGTTATGCCAAAAAGTTCATTTGAGTTTTTCCTAAGATCCTAAGATCTTATGGAAAAACCCAAACGAACGTTGTGGCCATCCCAATGCTTCTTTTAATAGAATCATAGAGTTTGGGGTTGTTTAAATGACAATTTCTTTTCATATTCCACAGTTGGATCCTGAATGAACAAAGTCTGGCTTCTCCTCAGAATGAAACACACTGCTCCCAGCCAGTGAACTCAGCCTACTTTCTCCTAGTGTAATTTTAGACTGCACAGGAAACACTCAAGACTGAAGAAGTCGGAATGTGACCTTTTACCTGAAATGATACTGGCAACACTGGCATGTGCCACCAGTGACGTGGACCAGAGCTGACAGGCACGCTTCGCTCAGCAAAGCTCCTTTTCATTTGACCTGCTATCTATCCCTGTAGTTGTGCAATGTCCTACAATTACTTCGGACATCATTCATTTTAAAACAAGGCATACCATACTTTTATAATCTACTCCTTTTAAAAGGAATTGTAAAAATGCTACCATAGTTTTGTTATCCCTGATTGAAGATGCAAATCGATTAATGAAGTGGCAGTCCAGCAGGGTTATCCTCACCATAGGTGGCTACATCATCCTTGAAATGCCAATACTTTGGCCACCTGATGCGAAGAGCTGACTCATTTGAAGGGACCCTGATGCTGGGAAAGATTGAAGGCAGGAGGAGAAGGGGATGACAGAGGTCACACAGGTGGGATGACTCTATTGTCATCAATATGCAACTCTTCTCTTTGGCCCAGGGAAGGTTCAATATGGGGCTATTTCAAAGCTGTGGAAGGCAGGTGTGAATAGAAAATATTCAATGATTTTCAAACACATACAAAACTCCTCACATACCATTGGCTAGAAATGAGTTGCGAAGCAAACTTACTCCCAAAGAAAGCTGAGGGGATATAGTGACTAGGTAGGCAACCGTGTACCCTGCTAATACTTATGGGTGGGTTGGGGGAGGGCTGTGCAGGGGGAGAATTGGATATTTTGTTAGAAAAAGAAAGAAAAAAACAGTTATTAGTATAACATCACTCTCTTCCATGTCTACCCCTCGGTCCAATATCCATGTCTCCCCTTATTTCTGCAAATAGATCACACAACCTAAGTGGAATTCTAATCTATTGTCTTCCATGTGAAAGAAACAGTAGCCAAAGACCTCTCTGGCCACAGCTCTTGAACCAAGATTCCTCTTTTTTTTGTTTTTTACTAGCCTCTCTATTTATCCTTTCCCTCTTTGCTTCTATTTCATGTTGGCTACCTTTAGTGGCAGCCATTTGAAACAGTTAAGAAGGCAGTGCCTTTTATCCAGTCTTTGTTTCGGGCTGATTTCCATTTTCTGGCCAAGGAAAATACTTAACAGAAGGTCCACAAGAAAGACCTCCATCATCAAACTTATCTACTGTTGTCTGGGGACACAGATCTTCCAACCTTTCATGGTCCAAACTTAAGCTCTAAGATATATAAGATTGCAATCCATAAATGAGAAAACCTCCCTCATTAGAGCTATATTCCCTTCTATCTCCACTTACTGACCAATAATTACCTGACTTCCCTTTCCTCTTATAATACATTATTAACAGTAGTGAGTGCTAATCAATGTATACCTATACTCTTAATTGCTCTCCTTGAGCTAAAGGTCATGAGGCCAATGACCTGTCTTTCCAATTATAATAGCTAACTGTCTTAGCAAATGCTATGTCACAGAGTAACAAGTGCTACCAGTGTTTCTAAATGAAATACTGTGCCTATGTCACCTCTGCCTGTTGCTATTCAATGTCACAAAATTCAGGGTTTTTTTAATGCTTACATATCATTTCTGGAACCAATTTCTGTATTAATTGGATACACGCTTATTCATTCCTTTTAAGCAAATGTTACTGTTCAGTTGTCTCAGATAGTTCCAAAATTATATGATTAGGGAACTTTTTGCTTTTTAACCTAGGTCTCTAGTTCTCTTCTTGTTTGTTACACAATCTGATGCTTAAAAATATTACACAGCAATGTCCTTGAACTTTTTCAGTTGTACTGCCAGATCCTGTGTACTTGTTTAATTTTCACCTTTAAATTTGTGATGTGTTAGTTATAGTTATGACCAACCTAGATAGCACTTTAAAAAGCATTGACATTACTTTGCCAACAAAGGTCTGTCTAGTCAAGGCTATGGTTTTTCCAGTGGTCATGTATGGATGTGAGAGTTGGACTGTGAAGAAAGCTGAGTGCCGAAGAACTGAAGCTTTTGAACTGTGGTATTGGAGAAGACTCTTGAGAGTCTCTTGGACTGCAAGGAGATCAACCAGTCCATCCTAAAGGAGATCAGTCCTGGGTGTTCATTGGAAGGACTGATGCTGAAGCTGAAACTCCAATACTTTGGCCACCTCATGCAAAGAGCTGACTCATTGGAAAAGACCCTGCTGCTGGGAGGGACTGGGGGCAGGAGGAGAAGGGGGCGGCAGAGGATGAGATGGCTTGATGGCATCACCGACTCGATGGGCATAAGTTTGGGTAAACTCCGGGAGTTGGTGATGGACAGGGAGGCCTGGCGGGCTGCGATTCATGGGGTTGCAAAGAGCCGGACACGACTGAGCTACTGAACTGAACTGAACTATGTGTCTGCATGAAAAACCTAGCATAAGGCTTCATGGTCTCTGTGTGATGGCAGTTGATACAGTTTGTTAACTTTCATTCTTTTGGGATGTGAGGATTTTTCTGTTTGTTTGTTGGTTTGTTTTTAACAAAGATTTCGATGATGACATCTGAAAAAATTCGGATACATGCTAAGATCTTTTTTAAATTTAGAAAAAGAAATCCCAAAATACAATGTCTTCATAACATAGAAACTTGCTTCTCTTTCACCTAACTGTGCAGAGGCAAGCAGGGAGACTCTGCTACCAATATGTGACCTTCATCTCTGGGTGCCCTTTAGCTATTTGAGTGTCACCCTCTCTCACCCAGCAGGAATTGTCTTTTAAAAGTAATATTCAGAAGGTAACACCTCACTTTTGCTGACTTCACATTATTAAGAACTTAGTCTTGTAGCTGCAAAGGATGCTATGAATTACTGCCTCTACCTGAGTAGGTGTGTGCCTTGCTAATACTCAGGAATCTCATCACTCAAAGAAGCAAAAGAAAAGGGACGCTAGGAGATAACTAGCACCCTCCGCTACTGATTACAGCTGTTTGACTCCAGATCCCAAAGGCAAAACTACTTTCGAAACTCTTCCAATATCTAGAAAGAATGTTAAGTCTCTTCTTCCTCACTACTCTGATGGTCCATATTCTCTAGAATAACAAAGTTGTGCCACTTTGTTTGCCATCTTGTTTCAACTTATTTAATCATTCATTTATTCTAGGAGCTATGCTCACGTGCTCAGTCATGTCTGACTCTTTGTGACCCCATGGACTGTAGCCTGCCAGGTTCCTCTGTCCATGGGATTCTCCAGGCAAGAATACTGGCATGGGTTGCCATTTCCTCCTCCAGGGCCTCGTCCTGACCCAGGGATCGAAACCACGTCTCCTGAGGCTCCTCCATGGCAAGCGGATCCTTTACCTACTGAGCCACTGGGGAAGCCCATTCCAGGAGCAATTATTTATTGAATACCTACTGTATGATGGAATTTAGTTAGACAATAGGAAGAAAAAGATAACTAAGACAGAATCATCTGGACTTTTTATTCAACAGTTTCTATTTATTTAGAATAGAATATTTACTTAGAAAAGTCACCATTCTCTTCTGAACATAACACCAAAAATGTATTTAAAAATAATAAATTGAAGAGAAGGACACAAGAGTTTTATATTTTTCACTTTCCTTCCTCAAGTTTGTATTACTTCCATCAACTGACCTAACTAAAAATTATAATTTAGTGTCAAATGAATCATTTAAAGCACAAAAATCTTGCCAATAAGAACAGGCTGCAACTCAGTTATACCTACAACACTCTTTCTAATCAACTGCTATATTGACACCAGTTTTCATCATTAATATGAAACTGCAATATGCAAGAGACCCTTTTCCCTTCACTGAGCCCCCCATTTGGAATTCTACTTCTGTCAGATCTAAGTCAACATCAAAATATTCCCCAAAAGAAGCCATACACAAATGAATACTTACTACTTTATTCCATTTATACTTAAAGTATAAAGACAGGAGAAAATGAACTTATGCTCTCAGAAGTGAGGCTAGGATGCCTACCTCGATGAGGGGCATGCAGGATGCTTCTAGAATGCTGATAATGTTCTGTTCCTGGATCAGGGTGGTGATCACATGGGTGCATTTTGTTTGTAAATCCCACCCAATATTCTATGTTGAAAGTTCTGGTAGCAGTTTGTCATATAATTTAGAAGGCATCTAGAGGGCCTTATGACACGTCAAGCATTTTACCAGTCACTGTGAAGGTTTCCAACAACATATAGTACATGTTCCACCTTTCCATTTCCCATCAAAATGAGGCAGCTGTGATGTGAGAGGGAAAAAAGGGAATCAGAAACCTAGCCTGTGTGTCCATGTGTAAGTCCAAACTAACAATCCCCTCTCTGAGCCTCAAAATTTCTGTGATAGAGCTGAACTCTAGGGCTCTCTGCTCTATAATTTCCTACTGGTCAGTCATGGTTGCCCATTTTCCTGTTTGTATCTAAAGCACCTTTTTTTTTTTTTTGGAACTCAGAATATCAAATTAGGTGAACACTGAAAAAACATTAATACATTATAATGAACTTACATAGCTCTTTACCAAAGGGCTTCCTTGATGGCTCAGTTGGTAAAGAATTTGTCTGCAACACAGGAGACCTGGGTTCGATCCCTGGATCAGGAAGAATCCCTGGAGAAGGGAATGGCTACCCACTCCAGTATTCTTGCCTGGAGACTTCCACGGATGGAGGAGACTGATGGGCTACAGTCCATGGTGTCACAAAGAGTCAGACACGACTGAATGGCTAACACTTTACCAAAGCCAGGACAGTACGACTGGAAAACCCTGGGACTAGGTACCCCTTGACTCCTTATTTATGGTCAACACCCAGTCACTAGCTCATTGCATGATGTTAGGCAAAGCCCTTCAGCTTTCTGGACATCAGTTTCATCATTTCTAAGACAAAGGGCTTAGACCCTAAAGATTCTGTTTCCAAGTTAACTTGTTCAGACTAAGAAGTAGCAAAACCCAGACTCTGGTTTTAGGGCTCAATTAAAGTTTTCTTCCTATAAATATGTACCTTAAAAAACAACCTAAATTCACATTTAAAAATTCTTGTTGCCCAATATGTGCTGGACATAGACATCAACTATGTGAGGGAGATATGTTACCTGTGCTTTTCAGATTAGGAAACTGCCCATCAGAAAGTTAAGTGACATGTCCCTGTATGTGCCCTGGTCTGTACCAGAGGCAGCAGGGGAAGCCTGGTCCACAGACTGAGGACCTTACTCTCCACATGGAGGCTTGTAAGGGGCCCAGAATCAACAAATAAGCCAAAATAAATCCAATTCTAAAGCAAAAATGTTTTACTTTTTCTAGTTTCCTCTGGTTGAGAAAGAAAAATAAGAACTGGGAGTTTCACCAGTAAGTATAAAATTTCATGTCATTTGTTAAAATGATAAAACTATATACTGTTGGATAAAACCTCAGGATGGCTCCAAAGTCACAGCACGTTTTAAGACTTGATAGACATGTCACCATTTTCACTGCAATTCACATTTTATCTGGAAGATAAGTTCCTTGGGGGTGTAAAAGATTTTACGAGCCTAGAATCAAAGACGAACAAAAGTTTTCTCTTTTTTTTAATGTTTATTTTATATTGGAGTATAATTGATTTAGAGTGTTTTGTTAGTTTCAGGTGTACAACAGAGTTGTTCAGTTATAAATATTCATAAATCTATTCTTTTTCAAATTATTTTCCCATTTAGGTTGTGTTAGTCACTCAGTTGTATCTGACTCTTTTCGATCCCGTGGAAAATAGCCTACTAGGCTCCTCTGTCCATAGAATTCTCTAGGTAAGAATATTGGAGTGAGTAACCATTTCCTTCTCCAGGTGATCTTCCTGACCCAAGGATCAAACCTGGGTCTCCTGCATTACAGGCAGACTCTTCACCATCTGAGCCACCAGGGAAGCCCATCCCATTTAGGTTATTAAAGAATATTAAGTAGTTCCCTATGCTATATGGTAGGTCCTTGTTGGTTATTATTTTAAATTTAGTAGTGTGTACATGCCCATCAGGAGAAGGCAATGGCACCCCACTCCAATACTTTTGCCTGGAAAATCCCATGGATGGAGGAGCCTGGTAGGCTGCAATCTATGGGGTTGCAGAGAGTCGGACACGACTGAGCAACTTCACTTTCACTTTTCACTTTCATGCATTGGAGAAGGAAATAGCAACCCACTCCAGTGTTCTTGCCTGGAGAATCCCAAGGACAGGGGAACCTGGTGGGCTGCCATCTATGGGGTCGCACAGAGTTGGACACGACTAAAACAGCAGCAGCAGCATACGCCAATCTCAAACTCCCAATTTATCCCTCCCCTCAACCTGACCCCCTCAGTAACCGTAAGTTTGTTTTCTAAGTCTGTGAGTCTGCTGCTGCTGCTTCGTAAATAAGTTCATTTGTATGATTTTTTTTAGATTCCACATATACGTGATACGTGTTTGTCTTTCTCTATCCTATTTATTTCACTGAGTATGATAATCTCCAGTTTTCTTTTCTTAAAAAAAAAAGTCTTGATAAAGCAGAAAGGCTTAGTTATACCATTGCTCCTGCCAGGTGTCAAGTGTGATATGGGGGCGTGGTCCCCGAGGAAACAGCTCAAAGATGCAGAGGATAAAAACTCTGGGGTGAGTGAGATGCTCTCTATACACGGTGTTCTTAGCAAGCCTAGAAATATTTTAAATGTTGTTCCAGCCCAGCTGATGATTGTTTTAGAACAAGTCTCCTGAGAAGGCCTGACCCTTGATCTGCAGAATTCCTTCAAAGACACTGAGGCAGGCAGGCAGTAATATATCATCTGCTAGGGAGGACACCAAAAGTCCTGGAGGTTGCCATGAGTCTCAGGTTACTAAAGTTCACTCGAGTACTTCTAAAAACACAATGGGATAGCCTTCCCAATCTTTCTTTTAAAGCTAGACCATCAATGAATAGGCAAGAAACAGCTATTATAAGACAGCTTTGAGAAAAATGTACAATATTTTTTACAAGTCATTAACTTTGTCATTTTTCTGTGCAGAAACTCCAGTTTTTAACCCTAAATTCTACCGTAAACTGAACGCTGAGGTATGGGGTTAACAGTATAACAGGACTAGTTGCTAAATCAGCCATTAATGAGCCTATTTGCTCCTGTAATTGTAAATAGAAGGGAATGTTCCCAATAAAGCCATGGTCCTGAGCCTCTCTGCAGTCCCACCCCCAACGCCTCCCACCCGAGCGGGCAGGGTGGCCCCCCACCCCGCACAGAGTGCATGGATAATGTCTCCTGAAAACTGCTTAGTTCTACAGCACTTTCTGGTGTTCCAGGTATCATTTGTTAAACATATTTTTAGGATCTATTCCGCCCGAGTTCAGAAGTTACAGATAAAGCAGAGCAAGTCAGAACTGACCGCCAAAATGGATATGGCCCGGAGCCCTGGGTGTCCCAGCGGGAGGGAATTAGAGGGGCCTGTGGAGGCTTATTGGAGGCCATCGCGTGTTTTCTGGAAGTTTCATCGAGGATGAGACTTGAAGGGCAGTATGAATTTTCCAAATGAAGGAAGAGCGCGCGGGGGCGAGGAGCAGTGTAGGGGGACGGGAGAGACCAGGAGAAAGATCTCTGGCAGCGGAGGGAGGCCAAAGAGGCCCAGCCTGAGTTTCGGCGGGGGCCCACACGGGCCTTCACCTTGACCCGGGTGCCCAGTGTGAGGGCAGGCAGTGACCATCTGCAGGCCACAGCCTTGCTGTGACATTAAGGATGCTGATAGGAAGTGCCCTGAGGCTCCCGAAGTGTGTGAGCCGGGCTCCGCTCCACCTTCCTGGCCACGTCTCACCCAGAAACCGGAAGCGGAATTCTACTCAGTACTCGGTACTGAGGCTGTGCAGTCTGCACATTTATGTGGGGTCCCTGCAGAGGAGGGGGGCAGGGGGAGAGCAGGGCTTTCCTGCCTGTTGTCTGCAAGCCTGCGTGTGGAAAGCATGCATCACGAGGTGAGCAGTCTGGGGGAGGTCCTCTGAACAGTCACAGCAAACCTGGAACCAGGCGCTGTCCTAAACTGTTTACACGTTTGGGGATTTTCTCTTTTAATTCTTACAGGCCCTGTGAGCCTGCCTGTGTATTTTTTTTCTGTAGTTTTCCCCCCATTATGATTCCTGTTCTACAGATGAGGGAAACTGAAACCCAGAGTGGCTGAGTAATTTGTCTGAGGTTGCACAGCTAGTTCCTGAAGAGAAGCCCTGGGACCCAGATAGCCCAGCTCCTGCCTGAGTTCTTAGGCCCTGATTTTTGTGGCCCTTACTCCAGCACAAGGAAGAGTACCACAAGCCCCCCATTCCTCCAGGAGCTGGGGTATGGAATAAACACCCATGGAGAACACAGAGGCTTGACTAGAAATAAGAATCATGTGGGTGCAGCTCACAAAACAGACTTCAAAGAGGCCTAGTCCATAGCATGTATACAAAACAACTGATTCTGCCTAGGAGAAATAGCTGCTTCATTTAAATTATCTCATTGCTGTCTCATAACCACTGGGCAAGGGAGATAGAATCTCCTCATCTGATGCAAGAGGAAACTGAGGTGAAGATGGTTGTGTAACCAGGTCCAGATGGTGAAGCCGAGTTCTTTTCCTATTCAGTGAAGCCTCCTCAAAATTCAGAGCTTTGTCCCCACTCCTAAAAGTTGGCATCCATTTCAGGCAACTTCTCTTTGACGTAGAGAGTAAGGGGAAGTGCTTTCATTCAGTTACCAGATTCACTTCCTAAACTCTGCAACAAGAAGCTGATGCAAACACACCAAAACATCCTGCTCACGGCAGCCTGGCTGTTTAGAGAGACCTCTAGCTCCAGACTGTTCCATCTGAGGCTGACGGGGACTCTGCTGAGGGCGCTGTAAGGTAAAGGGGTGCCATGTTGGAGTTCTAGATCCCACTTGGCCCAAAGAGAAGGCATTTGAAGAACACTGCAAGTCAGGAGGGGATAAAGAGGAAACAGTGTAAGGAGGAGGGAGGCCTGGGTGGAGGTTGGTTATGGATCAGACATCACAGCACAATCTGAGCTTTGATCCTCCCATCAGGATCTTCCTTCAACTGTAAAGGTTGCCCAGCCCATGCTGGTCAACCCAATGTCTGCTCTGGCTGCAAAGGATCTTCCTGGAAAAGAAAAAAGAACTGAAGAGCCAGGGCTTATAGCCAAGATTTCAGGAGAGGAAGGTACATTTTAGCTCTGAAGTACAAGACACATTGCTTCGAAGAATAGGGAGAAAAACGAGAGGTATAACTTTGTTTTTAAGCATAGAAGTAAAACTTTGTTCCAGTTCTATAATAACTGCTTCCTTCCTCACTCCTTCAGTTCCCCAACCCTGTGAGACAAGGACAATTGTACTAATGAAATCCGCAGTCGCAGAACCTGAAGATCCATTTATATTGGGTTTTACTCTTTGGGGAAGATTAAAGGGGCAAGGTCTTAGGCTTTCCAATGAGTAGATAAAAAAGAAAACAGAGTCAAATAAAAGTAACCCAGCATTTGAGTATCAAGGGCAGCAATGATTCAAGTAAGAGTATTACAAAGGAACTGTGTGGCTGAGTCAGAACCATAGTGTCTTGCCTGAAAAACAAAGGGAAGTGAGTCCTGTCCCTTCTGGCCAGGGCGTGCAGGCAGCATGCCTAAAGCCTGGGGGCAGCCTGCTTTCCCTTGGGGCTGCTTGAGGGATTAGGTAAATATAAACCTCTTCAAATAACCCAAGATGTGAGAAATTGAAAGCATAGCAAGCTGGAGTAGTCATCAGAAGATATATTTAGGAGGGCTTATTTTGCAAGCTAAAATTACAGAACAACAAGATGCAGTCAATTAAAAGTATTAAAGGGTGAAGTTTCTATGATTGGGAGAGAGTTGCCATCTATGACAAAGAGCCAGAAGGGACCACCATTCTCCAAAAATCAGACAATCATTTTAATAAACTAGCTCATTCTCCCTTGCCCCAACAGCCAGTTTCTACATCAAGACTAGTTCAAGATTTCAACAAAAGGAAGTGGTTTACAAAAGAATCAGCAGGAACCCAGAAATGTTTAATTAAAAAAAAAAAAAAGACCACACAAAGAAAAACTTGCTCTGTATACCATTTAGGTTACACGTGTTTTTTAAGTAGCAAAGGGTAGGAACTTTAAAAACAAAATTTCACTATATTCACAGAATTCTGTGTACTGTCATATCCCTTACCTTGGTGGAGCCTCATAATTCCCTACTCAGGTAGAGAAGAATTATGGTCATTTTACAGATGAGGAAACTGTAGTTCTGGAAGGCTAAACATATTGACATGGTCACACAGCTAATAGGGCAGGACTGAGATATGAACCCTGTCTGCATCATGCTTTTTTTCCATAGGTACCTCAAAAAATAAAATCTGAGCTCAGCTAATACGTCATAAGTGTTTATCATGTGCCAGACACATGATGAATTATTTATATTTATTATTTCACTTAATCCTCAACCACTCTCCTCAGTTGACAGATGAGGAAATAGAGGAACTGAGAAGTCAAACAACTTGCTCAATGTCACACAGCTTGTAGGTGGCAGATTCAGATCCCCACTAGGGGTCCCATTTTTTTTTTTTTCCATTTATTTTTATTAGTTGGAGGCTAATTACTTTACATCATTACAGTAGTTTTTGTTATACATTAAAATGAATTAGCCATGGATTTACATGTATTCTAGGGGTCCCATTTTAAAGTGGTCATTTGGTGCAATTACACATAAATTCTATGGTCTTTTTTTTCGTGCTTATTGAAATATTATCAATTTACGTGATTTTCCTGCTTTAATTTTCACAAAAACACTTTTAAGATGTGTAATATTGTTCTTTTGGATCCAACATTTTAAAAGTTCTGTATCTTTTAAAACATTACTGAAGCTGAGGGCCTTTGCCTCTGTTTCATACTCTCTAAAATGAGAACATGAATGGTTATCATTAAGATTAAACTAATTTATTCATGGAAAACACTTGTAATTAGCACCAAGTGGTGCCCATGGCAGCCTTCTGCTGGTATAAATTATTTTCATTATTGCCCATGGCCTGCCTTCCCCAGTATGGCTAAGAACTTGAGTTGTAGAAATCCACTTACTACCATTAAGGCAGATGCATATGCCTCGCCAGCGTTCAGGATGTGCTTTAAAAAAAATTGGAATAAATGATCAAAAGTTCAAACAAGAAAGTGAAAGACTGATAACAAAACTACAAAGTTCAAAATGATCTGCAGGACCTGGGAATTAATGCCTCCAAAGAGGAGTAAAATGGAAACCACATATTTTTTTTAACTTTCCAAGAAATACATTTCGCTTAATCCACTGTGAACCACATTTCTGTTAAAATGCAATGCTTATTTTCCAAAAATAAGTAGTATGAAGTCACATAAAAAGCTAATAAAGTCCATATCCAACTATAAGAGAGCCTTATTGAGATCTCACTTAAAATTGAGGAAGGAAATCCGTGGTCAGGTTTTTATTTCATCTTTAATTTCCCACGGTTTTCAAAGAGCCATATTACAACTCTCTCTCAAACATGTGCAAGGAAGTATTGCGATTGTGAAAATAGATACTCCGAATACCTAAGCTAAATATTTACATTCTGCCTTTTTTAGTTAAACAATTGACTTTGTTCTTTAGCATTCAGGTCAAAATATTTAAATGCTGTAAAACATCAATAACAAGAGGATATGGTTTTTCACCAGATAGTCTAAACTTACTGGTTTTAGCAAAATCTTCACAAGAAGGAATTGGGTACTTAAAAAAAATGTTAACTTGCATACACCCTGGAAATAAGGGAAAAAAAGGTGGGGGAGGTGTCAGTCATTTATTCTTTTTGGCATAACACCACATTCCTTCCACTTCCTTATGTTTATGTAGTTAAGACTTGCTGAGCATTTACACCTACTTACATCACTGCAACAATAACTTCAATTTTCTGACTTTACAAAGAATTTACTTCAAAGTAGTTCTTGGATTGACATGCCTTGGTTTATTTATTTTCAGAGCATGCCTGTCCATAATAGGTATGGGACTAGCATTTTATCTTTATCCTACAAAATTAAAACTGGAGGTACTAGGGGATGAAGGGACCCGCCCCCAAAAGACAAACCATTATTAGGAAATGTGCCTTATAACTCACATCTTCTTTAATATAGTAGGATGTTTTCCCACTAGATTATTTTTCCTTCACATAAGGGAGCAGCCAGGTTGACAACTGGGCAGGATAGATCACCTGGGCAAATTCCAAGAACATTTTTGGAGGATGGGTTAATGTGACCCAGCAGTGGCTCTGAGGCTGGAAAGAAAAAGTGAGGCTTTGAGAAGTGCATGTGTTTTGTGATATTCAGTGAGCTACATGTAACTACTGTTAACAAAACAGTCAAATCAGGCTGTGTTAGAGAAGTTGAGAAACAGAAGTGTTTTCTAACAAACTTCTTTCCTTGTTAGTTTCGCTTGAGACTTCCGCTCAGGCCCTATGTTTCGTGCGTACCTGCCCAGCCAGAGTCCTCCTGTGTGTTATTGGAGCTGCTGTGGCAGGAGCTGGAAGGCCAGCTTCTGCAGCCGCCAGCTCGGGGCAAGAGGCTTTATGCAAGGAGACTACAGAGGGGAATGTCCGACTGCACCAAACCGGTCACATTGATGACACTGGAATGGGACGTTCTTCCAGAAGGAAGCCATTCAGACACCCTTTGCTGCAAAAGCTGCAAGGAAACATTTGGATTCCCTCAGTCATTTCTCTCAAACCTGACTTGAGCTGCCAGGACTGAGTCACTTTCTTTCCACTGTGGCTCACATTACAGGTGGCAGGTTCCACCTGTTTCAATATTTGAATGATGACAAAAGTGACCCTTGAGAGCTGAGTGACGTGGGCAGCTGAGCAGGCTTCCACACCAATTGTCGGAGAAACCAAGATAACCTGCCCCTATAAAAGGGATTACAAAGACAAATAAGGCCAAAAGAGGGTGTTCCGAGAGGCTCTTTTGTCTAAAGCTCTTTCTGGGGGTTAATGAGTGTTGGAGGGATCAGTTTAAACAGTAGCAGGAGAGGGCATAAGCTTAAGTTACAGCAGAGAGAATGAAGGTCAGATATATTAAGGACCTTCTGAACACGGGAAAGCTAACACGGGAGGAGAAAGAATAGACCACGCAGATCTCTGAAGTAAGATCTGTCTCAAGTCTTTCTCAAGCTAGGATTTTCGACAAGGAAATAGGTCTCTGCCCAGTGAAGCACCTTGAGAGGAAAAGATTCAAAATCCTTCTTTGCGATTTTGAAACACTCTTCCCCTGAATCCCTCCATCCTTGCCCTCCAGTGCGAACCCCACCATGATCTGTTTTGTGTGTTAATTGCTATAGTACTGAATATAATGCCAGGAACAGATTTCTCACAGCTCTGCTTTTCACCGCATTCACCTTCTCCAAAGCAGGACCCCTTTCCAACCACCTCTTGGGAGAGGATGAAGTGATTAATTAATAATGATTTAAGCACTGGGGAGAATTTCACCAGTTCTCCTCCATCTTAATCTTGCCAATCCAAGAAGTGGCAGCCAGCTGTCACAGAAACAGGGGACAAGGTCAGGGGGTGGTAGAGTAAACAAGTGCTTTAAAGAGAAGCGCAAAAGATCAGGGGTTTTGTTTTGCTTTTGCCACTCAATGTTCTGTCAGCTTTGTGTTCGTAATTCCACTGCTCTCTGCCTGCTTCCCTCATAAAACCTGCCCATGCCTTCTCCTGATGCTATCTAAATAACAAAGAATCCAGCAATCAATATATAATCTTTTCTCCTCCTGTATCTGGTCACTCACACTAAAGGTTTCTGGAAGATATAAATTCCCATCATCAGAATCTCAGAAAATGACCATGAGTTGGACAAAATTGGCCCTTTACCAGTGCTTATATGATGTGAATAATATTTATGGCTCTCTGAAGTCTATAGTTTCCCACTAAAAGAATTTATAGAACAAGAATAATTTTGTGATTAAAGATTGTTTTAATTTAGGAATTGTTAGTGAATTCAATTATAATAAAGACATGGGGGTATATGCATTTCATGTCTGAAAAATCAATATATATTTGATGCCTTTCTTTAACTGCTACTAGCACTGATATTTTCAGGATTAAAATATCTGTAGTTAAACCATCACAATTCAGCATTTCCCATTGAGGAAGATGTTATGGCTAGATTTTCATTAGATGATGTTTATGGACTTTTTATAAACAAAGATCATGGGATCTGGTCCCGTCACTTCATGGCAAATAAATGGGGAAACAATGGAAACAGTGACAGACTTTATTTTCTTGGGCTCCAAAATCACTGCAACTGTGACTGCAGCCACAGAATTAAAAGACACTTGCTCCTGGGTAAAAAAGCTATGACCAACCTAGGCAGCATATTAATTAGCAGAGACATTACTTTGCCCACAAAGGTCCGTATAGTCAAAGCTATGGTTTTTCCAGTAGTCATGTATGGATGTGAGAGTTGGACCATAAAGAGGCTGAGCACCAAAGAATTGATGCTTTTGAACTGTGGTGTTGGAGAAGACTTTTGAGAGTCCCTTGAGCTGCAAGGAGATCAAACCAGTCAATCCTAAAGGAAATCAATCTTGAATATTCATTAGAAGGATTGATGCTGAAGCTCCAATAGTTTGACTACCTGATTCGAAGAACTGACTCATTAGAAAAGACCCTGATGCTGGGAAAGATTGATGGCAGGAGGAGAAGGGGATGACATAGGACGAGATAGTTGGATGGCATCACTGACTCAATGGACATGAGTTTGAGCAAGCTCTGGGAGATGGTGAAGGACAGGGAAGCCTGGCGTGCTGCAGTCCATGGGGTCACAAAGAGTCAGACACGACTGAGCGACTTAACAGCAACGGACTTTTTATAATCATTAAGCCTCATCACACAGCTAGATTTTCACCTTCTACAGAAGTTTAAGGATCAAAACAAATATATTAAGCAAGAAAGGAAGGATGTGTTGCTGTATCTCCTTGTCAAATGGGAAAAATAGCATAGGAAAACAGCCAAGTTTACCAAAAATCACAAATACAGATCATCGAGACAAGAAGAGAGAGCAGAATTCCTGAATCCCAGGCAAGGACAGATGACTCTGTCTCCTCTCTTCCACTGTGACACATGTGCCTAAAGGGATGTGCAGCTGACACCTTGCTTGTCCCTCAACCCCCTTGTGATTTATAGGTAACACCCAGGCCCACAGAGTTGAAGTCACATAGCTAGTAAGAGAGGTCTCTTTCCCACCTAGTCACCACGGGCCTCTCCCAGACACTGTTCTGTTCATCTCATGTTCCATCCCAGAGCAACTGAAACAGACTGTCTCATTCATTCAGCCAACATGTACTGAGAACCTAGCAGGCTAAGCCCCAGGAGGAATGGCCAAATCTCATCTGCTAAAACACATTCCTCGCTCCCCTCAACAGAAAAAAAAATGAGATCAAAAGTCAAAATGTACAGGGCCTAGGTAAGGACAAGGCTTGGATGGGCTTTAAGGTTAGACAGACCTGGATACATAATCTGACTACACTTTGCTACTGTGTAACCTTGGGCTTCTGCATCCTCTTCTGTAAAACTGTGAACATTCCTCAGAGGTGGTTTATGAGGATTAAATGAGATAGCACTTAAAAAACAATAATAATAACATAGTGTATGGACATAGTAAGGGACTGAGTAAGTGTAAGCAGTCAGCGTTACTACTGATTACATCAGGCTGGGCGTGAGAAAAGTATCAATACTTCTGCCGCTTTTTCTTTCTTCTCCCATCAGATGGCCTCAGAGCATGCACCTCATGCCATCTGAACCACATCAATATGAGAGTTATGGGTAAGTTACAGGTGGCCTTGCAAGGCTACTTTTAGTGGACTCTGTCTGCAAGGTTTCCTAACTCTGTGTGTGTGTGTGTGTGAGAGAGAGAGAGAGAGAGAGAGAGAGAGAGAGAGAGAGAGGCTTTCTCACTAAACCATGGCTTTTAAATTCCTTAGGGTCTATGAGTCATCCACCTGTCCAAACTTGTACACCTTCTGCAAGTAAAACTTCAGAACCTTGCCTAATAAGTTTTTGGTTAATAGATACCAGATTCAGAAGAGAATTACTAAACTGAAAAGCAAAAAGAAGCGTACTGAGAGTTTCCCCCAATACACCCTGTATGCATTGTCTCTGTAATTCCTTTAATCCACAACCATGCCAGGCACTCCATGAAAAGAGACACGAGATCCTCTGAGTTCCCCTGGAGGACTTAGGGTGAGTGCTGGTAAACACAGAGTGACGGGCATGGAGATGCCAGGCAGTCAGGGCTATATAAAGACAGGCGCATCAGTGCTCAGAAGGGCGACCGTCTATAAGACACAGGGGTTAGCAGGATGACGGTCAAGAGTGAAGCAAGACAGCACCTGTTTGGAAAGACGTCAAGGAAAAGAGTTCTGAAGGGCAGTGGGGTGACAGGCAGACGTCAGAGTTGACAAGAGGGAGCAGAGCAGAGATGGCAGGAGATAACAGAAAAGGTGACTGCTGGAGAGCAGAGAGCAAAAGGGAGGGGACCTGCAAACTTCTCCAGGACCCCTTGACACCTACATCATCAGAGAGAACCAGAGAGTGGAGAACGGCAAATTAGAAGCAGACATAATTATGTTGTCCACTTACCCCCTTCCATGTTAGTCTGTATCAAACACAGAATACAGACAAGTGGTATTTAACTTTCTATCTACACTTATCACAGTGGGAATGTGAATGCCCCAAACCCAAAGTCAGACAAACAACTTCAAAACCCCAGAAGTGAATTATTAGCCTCACATGGGTGACTGAAAAGTAGAAGCGTCTAGGAGGAATGGTAGAACTTCTTTTAACTACAGAACTACCTATAATTTAAAGAAAAACAAACTTCCAGAAATGGTTTCATTAAATGGCGTGCCATATATGATGGCAAGTTTTTAATGACTAGAAGGTTTAGAGTTTTACTTTTTGAACAACAATGTCTAATCCAGCAGTACTGTGTAGTCAGTGGAGACTTCTATAAAAATATTCGTTGACTAAGCTGGTCATGCCCTTGACTCAGGTCACAAGACTCACAGGCATATTCCTTGCAAGAAACTTTGATTAGATCCTCCACAAAGGCCCTGTGGGCCATGTGGGTAACAATTTATATATTAATAGTAAAATAACATCTCCTTTAAGGAGCACATTGGAGGAGACAAACACTATTCTAGTGCCTTCCTCCTCATCATCTCCAATGCTTAATTATCCGAATCCCTCCCTGTAATAAAGCAGATGTCTTTAGAGATGAGAAAACAAGGGCCTCGAAGGAGAGACCTTGTTCCCAAGTTGCATAATTAATAACTCATGGAAAGGAGACTACAGGCCAGCTCTCTTGAATTCCACAGCAAGGTTGGGGGAAGGAGAGGGGGTCTTACCTAAGAATCAGATTACACGAAGAAACCTCTTAAACCTATGCTTTAAACTAAAAAAAAAAAAAAAGCCCTAAATGAAAAAAACTAGCTTTGTAGACCTGTAAGTAGTTTTTCAAATAGAAAATTAAATACCCAGTAAATAAGCCCCAACAGTCACCACTGTAAGACTGGAACTAGACTCTGAACCGCAACGAAGAGCCCTTCCCCCACCCATCCCCTGAGGAAAGGAGGTCAGATTTCTCCAGGCACCCCAAGGCCTCCATCCCATCAGCCTGCCAGGAGTTGTGCTCTCCAGGTCTGAGCTCTGAGACTGCAGTCTGAGCTCTCACCTCATTGCCACTGGCAGCTAAAATCAATCTTACTAGTCAAGACAATCTCATAGGAAACAATCCATAATATCCTTGAGACATTTGCCTCTGAGAACGATGGATCTGATAGAGTCGCCTCCGCGCCCACCCTGGCCCCGCTCGGCTGGCAGGGGGAGGCGCCTGTGGGCGGAGAGGAGCCGCCAACCCCAACACCGGCCTGGCCTCCCGCTGGCTCCGCATCCTCGCCCCCAGGAGGGTGCCTGGCCCGCGCGCAGGAATAACAGCAGCCTCCGCGAGGCAGCAGCGGGGAAAGGCCAGTGTGTTCAAGTTGTTGTTTCTGGCTGGGTGAGCAAGTCTAGACCTCGGGAACTAGGAGGCCGCCTGGGGACTGGCAGAGGCCCGTGTGGAAACGGGGCTGCCTCTCCTGCGTCCTGCCTGACTTCCAAGGTGACGCCCACTGCTTCTGCACTCCCCATCTTCTCACCTGAACCCCAGATAAACCACAGCCACCACCTTGGGAATTCACTGTGACCAACACGCCCCAGAGATGGCATTTCTAGCGCTATTGGACAATGCCAGCCATTCTACACTCTTTAAGAAGGTGTAGGTGAAGGGGCTGGGTGAAGCAGGAAGCTGTGACATTGTGACTTTATAATGTGCGACAAGAGATGGCCAGGAGATACAGTACAGTCTAGACAAAACCAAAGTAATGCCGATCACAATAGGAAGAAATTAAAAATCTAGAAGAAAGGGGGGGGGTTAATATTTAACACTGCATCCTTCATAGAGAAGGCACAGCTTCTGAATTCACATCGCTTGTATTTCCCAACGCAAAAAATGTTTATCCAGCTGCAAATGTATTTGGAATGCATATTATTCTACAGTCCCTCTTTCCAAATACTCTTCTTCTATTACTTTTTTTTTTTGCTAGATCTTTTTAATATTGATAATCATCTTTTTGAATCTCTTCCTCTCTCCTAGCTTGAATCTCTAGGAAAAATGATGATAGTAGTAATAAAGTCAGATATAAAGGAAAGGATCAAAAAGAAAGAAGTCTTTAGAGCTGAATTCTGATTTCAGAATTCCCTTTTGAAGCATGATTTCTTTCTAAGCTGCATTTATGAACACGTGCTCCATGGTGGTTTAATGATCCCTTTCCTTAGGAAACATGGTGAATTTCAGGACCCACGCCCTTTCTCCTCCACTTGCATTGCTTTGGTTTAATCCTGCCTTTACTCTTTGCCTCTCAGAGAGACTGGCAGCCACTGCTCTCCAGTGCTCCAGGCTCACCGTCCCCATGCCCCCCTACCGCTTTGATACCCAAGTAGCATCCTAAACTTTAAATCTCTTAATGTTCGCCTTAAAACTTTTCACTGGCTACCCATGACCTAGAGCAGAGGTTCTCAATAGTTTGGGACATTTGATTAGAGTCTTGGTCACTCTTTGTCACTCTTTAAAAGCAAATCACTCAGGATAAATAATAAATCCTGAGTTAAGGATTTCTTCCTTGGTCAAGAGCAGGGGTCACCTAAAGGATTGTGTGTGTGCCCTGCATCCGCAGGCCATACATTAGATGGCCCATGGTGGTACAGAGAAAACAATTATTAGCACTTTTATGTTTATACATTCTTTGTCTTTAACAAAACTAAAAGAATATAATTAAAAAGTCATTTAAATGTATACTAATACTGAATGTATGAAATGACACTGGCACTCTTGACTTATCTGGCTTTCACCTAACACATCTAAGTTTCTCTAAAAAGAAAGGAAATTCCACAAACAAGGGGTGATGCTGCATCCTCATTCATTTCTTCACCTTCACCTATGGTCATAATTTGCATTCTACAGGTTGTAAGATGCCATGGATGGTTGGGTTATGAAAACTGAGTCCTTCATAAAGGAGATTCTTTGCAATTCTTTTAAGTTAGATGAAAAATTTCACACCCATACCAGTCTGCTAGTTATTTTGTATCCAAATAATTAAAAAGAATTATTCCACTACAAGATGATTTGCATATTTTCCTTTTGCAAATGACAAGGATCCCAAGTTGCCAGATTTTTTCATGTGAGGACTAGTGGCTGCCAGAATTATGCAGATATTTTCAGGAAAAGGAATATGCTTGGTCTATCTCTTTAAAGTAAAGATGGCCTTTTAATGGTGAATGAGAATGTAACTGCTTTTCTAAAATAATTTGCTATTTTGACAATGGGTGTGGTAGGCAGTCTCTGAGGTTGCCCCTCCTCCTTCCCATCCCCTCTTCCTGGCGTTCATGCTCTTGTGTTACCCCTTCCCCCTTGAGTGTGGGCTGGACCTCAGGACTCACTTCCAACAAAGAGACTATAGGAAGGTTGAGTGCGTGCTCAGTTGCTCTGTGGTGTCCAACTCTTTTGCAACCCTATAGACGATAGCCCACCAGGCTCCATGGGGTTTTCCAGGCAAGAATACTAGAACAGGTTGCCATTTCCTTCTCCAGGGGTCTTCCCGACCCAGGGATTAAACCTGCATCTCCTGTGTCTCCTGCATTGCAGGTGGATTCTTTACTGCTGAGCCATTAGAGAGGCCCATAGCAAGGTTACCTCTGAGATTAATTTACAAAAAGACTGTGATTTCTGTCTTATGCTTGCTGTCTTTACAGAGAAACCAGCTGGTAAGGAAGTACTCTCTCTGCAATAGCCATGAGGACCCAGGCGAGGTCTGCCAACAGGCATATGAGTGAACTTGGAAGCAGGTTCGCCCCCATCCCAGCCTTGAGCTGCCTGGAGAACTGGCCACCACCCCAGTTGCAGCCTTGAGACAGAAGAACACAGCAAAACCACTCCTAGATTCCTGACTACAGAAACCATGAGATAATAAATGTCTGCTGTTTTAAGCACTAATTTTAGGGATACTTTGTTACACAGCAATAGATAACTCATGCAATTGGAGAAAGCTTTCCCATCATCAATGAACTGATGGCTAAAAATCATATGAATGCATTTCATTAAATAAAAGAAAAAAAAAAACTCTCCCATCTGCACATTTGAAAAAAAATTAGAAACAGAATTTGCTAGCTTATTTTTTTTAAATCCCAGATAAAATACCAATCGATTTGAACCAACTGCTAAAAATACAGAAATGCAACACCTTCTAAAGAGTTTTCAATAATGAATGAATGATTGACACCAGAGAAGATGAAGTTATTAATTAAACTTCAAGAAAGATCTGAACATAGTGCTCAAAGTAAATAGAGTCATGATTTGGTCAATCCTGCTAACAAACACTCCTGTTGAAACTTTCTTTGCATAGTACCTTGTTTTGATTAAAACTAGAAATTAAAATAAACTGAACTTAGAACCAGTCCTTCAAATTACCTTATCACAAGATATTACACAAAAGTTTTCAGAAATATATAACATTTTCAAACACAGTGCTCATGCTAATATTTAATAATATTTTTGTGGGAGTAAAAGTTTTAAATGTTGTCTATGTAATCTTATCTCTCTGTATTTTGTAAGAGATACAATAAACTAAACATGTATGATGTACTCGTACATAAATGATTAAATATGAATATAAATTATTAAATAACTACCTAGCTGGGGAGGGCAGGCTCACATTATTTAACAATTGAAACAGTTTATATATCTCTGACCTTGAAGGTAAGTTCAAATGCTTTCCCTGAGTTTGTATAGCTTTCACCTATCTTTCTAGCCCTGCACTTAGAGCCACTTGCAATTCTCAAGACACTCTTGAGTAGCTTAGAAGTGAATCCTCCCCCAGAAGCCTTTCTTCCAGCACCACCCCCACCTGGCCCGCCCTGTCTAGTAAGAATTCCTACTCATATTTCAATGGTCAGCTTACTTGTCAGCTATTCCACGGCATCTCCTCTTTCCCTTCCCCTCCCTCCACCTCCCAAGGTATACAGTGCCTTTGTAATTCCTTTATTATAGGACTTACCACACTGTGATACACTTCAAGGATTTGTTTTTCATCTCCCCTTATCAAACTGAGGGCTTCCTACAAAATTTTTTCAGTAGATGCATGTACAGATGACCTCAGTTTTTCAGATCATTTTTCTCCATGGTTCAAAGTCTAACAAGGTGAAAAGAGACTCTCCCTTCATCTTATCCTGGCCAGCTATCTGGAAACTTTACCACCAAGATTCGGTTTAATAAACTTTTAAATATTTAAAAATTGATTTAAGGACCAGATCCAGCATTTGGATATATGCTTTCTTATAACATTGGGTAAGCCTGCATTGTCTGCCAGACTGCCTCAGGTTAAATCTACTTCTGCCGCTTGGGCACATTAAATATCCTCATGGCACTCAATTCCCTCATCCAGTAAATGAGGAAAATAATAATTAATGCATATAGGTGTGGCACAGAGTAGAAGTTCAATAAGCGTTGGTTATTATCCTGTTGCTTTTGTGCAGATATATTCAGCAAATGAGTAATAAGTGTTAACTAAGCTCCCAGCGTGGATCTCCCCTGTGCCTACTCCGGTGAACAGACGCATGCATCCACAGAGAGAAGCATCTTAAGGACAGGGCTGTGTCTACTTTTATTGTCATTGTTGCAACCCCAGCGCCTGGCATAGAGTAGGAGCTCCATTAATGTTTATTGATTTATTTAAAAATTCCCCATACATTTCTGCCTTGTACAGATTTGAATTCACATTATGGTTCAGACCACCCTTTCGAAAGCATTCTCAGGGTGGCTATTGTCAGAAACAGGATGTGTGGAAACAGTTAACGAGGCTGATGTTGCAGAAAAAGCTGAGAAAGAGACATGGGAGGAAATTATGGTTCAATAGGGTCCAAAAGTCTATCAGTAATGTAATGGGAAATGATTCACAAATGCAGTATTTACACACAAGTACAAAATGTTCCAGTGACTTCAAAAAGTAAAATGGCTTATTTTAAAACAAACAAACAACAACCTTGACAAATTCTAACACAGAATAAAAACTGTTTAAAATTGAATCAATGTTGTAGTCAGAATTCTTTCAGTTATAGGTGACTAATGCAAAGTTAACTGCTATAAGAAAGGAATTTTATGGGCTTGCATAAATAAGGGTAGAGGTTTGTCTCTGGGACATATAAATTGTCATCAGGTGGGTCTTTCATCTATTTATTCCTTTATCTATACATCCACATGTCCATCTCTCTGACTTCCAATCCGTCTCCCTAGCTTTTGATTGTCTCTTATTTCAGGCAAGTGATCTCCATTTGGCAGAGAGAAAAAGGGGTAAAGCCACCAACAACTCCAAGCATACATCATCTCAGTTCATTAGCCAGAGATGGGAAGTTCCTTTTCCCTCCTGGGTCCATGTAGGGTGAGAAGGGTTGTTGGATAACCCAAACAGTATCTGTCTACCACAACCATGATGGAAAAACCACTCCAAATTCTACTACCTCAACATACAAACCACTTGCCACCTTCACATTTTCTGGCCGTTCTAGTGAATAACTTTTACATAGTATCCTGGCACCTATTTTTTCATTTGACATTTTATCATAAGCATTTTACCTGTTGCTACATAGACTTTATAATGATCAGTTTTAAGGGTCCATATAAGATTTAATTGTCATTAGTCATTATGCAATAATTTACTTAATCATTTCCTTAGTGATTAACATTTCTGCAATTTCCAGCTACTGTTACAATTTAAAAATAAAGTAATTATTCTCTTCCTACCTGTAGTTTGAAAATATATATTTCCTTAAGATACTTCCCAGAAATTGGATTAATAAGTGAAATGGTAAGAACAGTTACAAAGATCTAGTTCTTAAGCTATATAACCAAATGTATGTTCAAAAAGTTGAACCAATTTTCAGTGTATCCAGTGAAGTGTATATGCCACAGCATCACCATATGATACTGAGTATCATGTGCAGATAAACCTTCATGAAGTCATGATGCCTGAACATTGTTACCAGTTCACAGTGTTTTCATTAATAGCCTGACTCTCTTGAGGAAACATACATGAGATTACTTAGCCCAGTACATAATACATAGGCAATAAAAGTTAGGTAAATCTGCAAAGGAATCTATTATGTTCCTACTTATGTTTCTAGGGAAGTCCACCCTTTGAAATTTGGGCTTTGCTTATACAAAGTACAGCACAAAGATAAGCACAAATAAATCTGTGGGGTCATTTCTACATAAAACTATACAGAAGTTAATATATCTGCTGACTTGCTTGAGCGTCTCTTATCTGTTTTGGAAAACAATCAAAGAAATCTGAGGGTGTTATTCTCACAGAAGCATAATGTAATTATTTGGAAGGTCCTTCTCTAAGAATTTTTTTCCCGAGATTAACCAAGCCCACCATTGCTCAACATTGCGTGTCAAAACCCTGGGTGTGTCAGAATGACTTACAGAAGGTCAGGTCATGCCTTTATGCTGTCACCTGGGCCCCATCCCCAATTCTCCCATTGAGAACTCCCATGGAGAGCCAGGCATCAGTAATTTTTTCAATCTGTTCAGGTGATTCTGGCACCGCGCCAGAAGCCAGTAATCAGGGAAGCAAATAAATCAGTCAGTAATGAGGTATTAGTATTAATGTCAGCTATTTTTAATCCTTCAATTTAAATTGAGAGCAAAGTTGATTGGGGGTTTTCCTTATACCTTTGCCCTGTCTCATGGCTCCACATGGCAAGAATATGCCCCTCCCCAAGCCTGCCTCTTGCAGCCCCTCTGCCCATTATCTGTGGACCAGCCTACTGCACTTCCTGCTTCCCAGAGAAGATGGTGCTTCTTTAGGTTTCCAGGGCCTGCACCTGGGTACATCTACCCAAAGCCTTACTGAAGCATCAGTGGGTGCCCTAGGCTGACAGATCCATGCCACCTTCTCCAGAATCCACCTGCGTCACTCTCTCAATCTCCTGGCTCCCAACTCTGCCAGGAAACGGGGAGCTATTTCCTGAGCCCCCTCAACCCCCATGACTAGTCATGTATTTATGCATCTCATCTTCCTTTCTAGACCACACTCTCGTTGAGGGCAAGCTGGCACATCTTCCATATGGTTTGTAAGACAGGGCCTGGCACCTGTGTCTTACAGACATCAGATAAATGTGCAATGAAGAGTGTGAGGAGAGATGTGACTCCTCTCCACCCCTGTGCTATGCCAAACAGCATGTGAGGTCTTTCCATGATCTCATGCTGCCCGCATCACAGCCCCTGGGGAGGTGGGATTTAATATTCCCAATTTGCAGGTAAGAATAGAAATTATCATCAAATAGAGCCTATTCTGTCTGAGAGTGTTTATTGGCAAGAACATTAAAAAGTGAGAATTTATTCCCCCTTCTCTACCTGCTGCCTAGTTTTCTTGAGATGGTTTGCTCTAATCACACAAATAAAAGTCCACAGATCCCTGCCATCACAGACATATAACTACTGAGAGATGCGTGCTTTTGGTTGGAAATTATCAAACCAATGAGCTCTAACCCAGACAAGTGCCTTTTCCCTTTCTACATCATTCATTATCATGAGATCTTGGTATTTTAGATAGGATTGTGCCATTTGGACTGGGCACTCAAGATTCCTCTAAGGGCCAAGGCTGAGTCATTTTCAGGTAATGGGCTTTAATGTCCAAGGGAAGAGGCATCCTGAATCACCTTCTGAACCTGTGCCACAGACCTGCTGTAATACTCAGTAGTTGTTCTAGAACCTTACATAATTGATCTCGTGATTTGAAATTGAATCACTTTCCAGTCTTCCTCCAAAGTAGTTGCCCTTCTGAACTGCACTCTATTACAGCTACACTGAGTCAGGCAGCTAAAGAAAATAATAATGATCATTCCTAGTGCTGCCACCTTCACTGAGGAGCTTCAAAGTCACTCTGAGCCCCCTTTAGCCTCAAGGGCAGAGTGAACCACAGGCAAACTTTTCCCCAGTCAGAAAAAATACTGAGGGTGAAAATCAGAGGAAAAGGAGACCCTTGCACAGGCCCAGGGATTCAGGTCCTTAGTCCTCCAAGGACTCTGGCCCACCACTCACCCTGAGGAAGTGATCCGAGTTATGCTAACCCTTGTGGACACCACCAGGTAGAGAATCTGCATCAGTGTGAAACGCATCAGTGTGCAAAGTGTGGTAAAATTCATTAGGACAGACCCCACTCATTTAAAATTTGAGGTTGTAAAACCTGAATGTTGGCACTCTCTCCATTTACAGATAGGGAAACAAAGGTTCACAGAGGTTAAGTGACTTGGCTGAAATCACACAGCTATCAGGTAATAGAACTGTGGTTTGGAGGTAGTCCTCCCAAACTTAAATTCAATGTTTTGTTTAATAAAGAGTACTGCTCTTAAGCGGGAGAGAAAGCTGAAATTTAACTTTATTCTAAGATAAAATAATTTATCACTTAAAAAATAGTGTAATAGGATGTGTAGAGAAGAGGGTAGACAGAAAGATACATGGTTTTTCTAGTTTAAAAGAG